AATAATAATAATAATAATAATAATAATAATAATAATAATAATAATAATAAATGGCCACGTATAAACCTTTGAATAGCTATCAGGCTCATAGGACATACATGGGTTTCAGTCGAAATTCATGTAATCTTTACTTTCAAATGCTTTCTGTAAGCAATCAGTTTGGACTATTTCTTGGGGAGGGGGGGAGGGAGGGAGGGAAAAGGGCATCAAAAAGAGAAGGAGAAATCGGCATTTTAAAGAATGAAGAGGATTCTAGAAAGAAAAATATTTAATAACTCTACCCAATTTTGCACTCCCTCTATCTACTTTTCTCTATCTCTACTGCTTTCTTTAGGCTAGCTATTGTTGGCATGCAGGCCCCACAGATTGTCTCTAAGAGAATGTCTGACTGTCTGTCCATCTAATTCAAAAAGGTTCTCAATCCTGATGTAGATGATGGAACAAATTTATTTTTTTCAGCATCAGACAGTTGAACCCCAGTCAACAGGCTCAAATCACCCAGAGGGAAGTTTCAGATACACATTAAGAAGAACTTCTTGACAGGGTGAGACAGGAACATGCTGTCTCTAAAGATGGTGGAATTTGCCTTCCTTAGAGATTTTTGAGATTCTGTAACGGGGCAAAATTCTGCATTGGTAGGAAGGGTGGGTCAAATGATCATTGATGGATACCTCAGTTCTAGGGTTCTACTACTGTATGAAACAGCTACTTGTAGTACAAAATCCAGCATGTCTGAAGAGAGCAATTGATCTACATCTTCAACAATCTTCCTAAAATCTACACCTCAAAGCCAACTGAGAATATTGCTAAGCAATATATACTTGACAGTTTCAAGTTGCATCTGTGTTGGGAGCTCTGAATTGTGAAGAAACCAGTTGAAACTTAAATAAGTTGACCTGCTGATATGCATAACAATGGAAGGCATTATCACATTTCTTAGAAATAAATGAATTGTGTCTGTCTTGGAAATGAAAAACAAAAGTTAGCATAGGGGCACCCTGAGCTGCTTAATGTTGCATTATAGGAATATCTAATAGAAAATCCATCTAATATATCTCAGTTTATCTGCATTAAGGCAATTCTGGCTAGAAATGAATGTTTAAAAACACATAGTAATCCCAGTACAAAAAGACCAAAAACATCTCTACCACAAAAGCAATTCACTTAGCTCATAGCTAACATTGTTGTTAACTTTTCCATACTCTATGAGCACTGATATAGTTCTGTGATTTCTACCAAGATAACTCCATATGTTTCTAAGTCATCTGTGTGAATCCATTCCAGTTCAAATATTGGAGAATTTCTGAAGTTTGAAACATGTTGTAAAACTGTAATATTAAGGTAATTTGAATTAATTATACATTCTCGCTGCTGAAGTTCCCTTGAATTTGTTTTTCTAGTGAAGCAAAAAATAATTAAAATAAACTAAAGGGGAAAAAATACTATGGTAGCTTCAACATACTGGCTTGAACAATAGGCCCTTCAAACATAAAACAGATTGAAATTGGGAATCAGTGCCAGCTTACAATTATCAGTTGTTACGATTCAGAATAGCTTTGGAACATGTTATATCATACTGAAAATCACCTACTGATGAAGTCTTGCAATTAAATGCATATCTTTACTCAAATCATAATATTCCGAAGTTCTTTCATAAGCATTTTACAGATGTTTAATTTATGTACTCACGGAGAAAATCTATCGAATTGATTGCTAAGAGCCAACAATGACTTGATGGCATATAATCAATCAATCAATTTATATACATTGAATTCATGGGATGGGGAAGAGATGGTGGCAACTTATTCTGCTTGAACCTCTGCAAATTCAGTGCATGTCTGCATAAACATATAGGTGTTACTACAGAGTATATGTGCATAGCAGTGGTATACAACCTTTCAATGGACCTTCGGCACAACTAATTTTGTTCAGATCTAACATTTTTTTCTCCATTAATGTCAGTGTCTCCATGTCTATTTGACAATTTTTCAGTCCTGGGTTTGGTGTGGCAATATACAATTAAAACTTAAGAGGAGAAGATATTATGAGTTTATTCTAGTCATAGAAGATGTGAATACCTATATTGTACACTAGTTGACTAAAATATGTAAAATATGGCAGCCTGGCATAGAAAATATTTTGTATCAGTAAAGTTTTACTAAAATTCTAACAGCCTTATTTATTTATTTACTTATTTTGTTTGGGAATGTCAGTTGTTGGGTTTCCTGAGAATAAACTGGGATTGCCGCAAAAATGCAGAAATCTTTGCAACTTGATTCAGATGATTTTGAATCAGATTAAATTTCATGAGTGAATTCTGATAATGGAATTCCACAATCATCCGCTACTGAATTTCACTTGATGTTCAATTTGAAGACATCAAAACACCAAGGTGGCATGAAATCCCGCCCCCCACCCCCTATCTTTGCAGACTTATTTGTCAGTGCTCTCTCTGCAGCCTTTCCAAACCCAATGCCCCAACCCTCCTGAATGCATTTTAGAACGTGTCCCAAAACAATCCAGGTTGCTCTGAAAAATGTTTGATATGATCTATTTGTTATGTCTGGCTGGCTGGGCTTAGGGAAACAGCTATGAAGAGTGAATTTAGAATAGCATATGAAGCTCCATCTGTGTAGGAAAAAATATGCAGTTCTAAACTGAATCCACTGTACATAGTTCACTTGAGTACTGCTGCACAGTTTTCTATACATCTGCAATATTTTGCAATGCAACTTGAGTCTAAATCCAACATTACAATGTAATGGCCCCAACTTTTGGTGCCTCACTGTTAATCCACATTTAGGCAAGGGGGCCAAAAGCTGAATTCTGAACTTTCTGATGGACACATCTTCACTTTGATATAAAGTTACTGGAA